GGCCTGCCACCCCCTGCCACATCGGGGACGGGGTGCAGAGCCTGCAGAAGGGAAGATGCAGTAAAATGTCACCGTTCTCTAAACCCAAAGCACTGAGTCTCCTGGAGCCTGGGGACCCAAGGGCAGCGGCTGTGGCCCCACTAGGAAAGGGGAATGAACTGAGCACAGCACGAAGAGCTCCAGCTCTCACTGCTCCGTCCCTACGCCGGGAACTCAGCGCCTGTTTCTCTGCCCGCACAGCAGCTGGGATACTGGGAAGCTGTGTTAGGCTCTGGACAACGCTTTCCAAATAAACGTGTAGAAAAAAGCACTATGACAATAGCGACAAACCAACAGACGTTATTTCTTCCTCAGTTCCTCTGCAAGCGGTAAAATTTCCCCCCTGAGAGAGACAAGCAATAGAGGACACTCTTTGAAGACAAGACACAGCTGCCCACAGGGTGCTCGGGGGCTGAATAACCTCCTCATGCCTGACTGCTGACACAGCGGCACAGGGAGAGCAGCCCCCGCTCCGAAACGCGGCAGCGCAGCTTCATTCGCCCGGGGTGAAGAACAGGCCCATTGTTGTGGCTTTCTCCCCTTGAGTTTCCAGAGTTTGTGCTTCAAAGAGCAGGCAGAAGGCAGCGAGGATGGGCCGGGGATATGGCGGTGAGGCAGAGCCTCCTCCCACCCCTGGGCTCGCTCAGTGTCCTCTGCTCTCAGCAGGGATTGTGTTGGGTGGTGGGTTTTTGGGGACAGGGATAATTCCCTCCCAAGTCACACAGTGACTACGGCTTGGAAAAACAAGTCTTGACAATACCGTAGGGTGGAGAAAAGTTGCATAAATCACTGAAAGGGATAACAGGGACCCTCTCTTTCCAGCTTCCACATCCTTCCTGGGGCTGTACCGTATCACCTAGAAACCCTGCTTTCCAGAGCACATTTTCCAATTTACACAACGCTTTTCCTCGCAGAGGACACTGCAATGCCCTACCAATTTGGACACCGCTAAGACAGCAAGCTGACTAGCATCTGGGCCAAAAATGGAAAACATTTACCCACTGCAGAGAAAAGGCAGGCAGCCGTTAAGGACAGAGGTGACACCTGACAAACACCACCAGACTCGGAGGCAACTTTTATACTTTTTTGCTCGCTTACAGATTCACACTTAGCCGACTTTAGGGACTTGAACTCCCAGCAGCAAAGACGGCTCAGGGTGGTTTAGGGCTGCAAGT